TGTGTTTTCCGATGGTCTTAGGTGACCCCTGTGAAAGGGTAGTTCAACCCCCAAAGGGGTCACGACCCACAGGTTGAGAACCACTGGGCTAGAGGGTGGACCCCATCAGAAGTGAGGGAAAACTTAAAAAGTTAATTGGTTTGAAGAAGCTCCTGCTTAAAATCCCCAAAGAGTTCCCTGCTTCTTTTTACCAAAGAAGACATACAGATGGCCAAGAGACACATGAAATGATGCTCAACGTCACTAATCCTCTAGTTCCCTACTCCGTGACCCACACTCACCCATGCACTCACCTCTTCTCTCTTCATAGCCATGTGGCCTTAAGTAGCCACATGACCCACAGCCATGAGGACCCCACACTCAATTGACTGCAACTGGGAACACAAACTAATAAGCTGGCCAGAGTTTGGACTGGACTTTAATATGGAGCAGAAATTCTGGGCAGTGGCCTTAATTCTGGCCCCGCTGAAGACATCTTCCATGGCGAGCGGTACAGAAATGAAACCTTGGAGGGGGACCTACCCTTAATTTTACATCATCAATAAAGTTTTCTATGAAACCCCATCCTCCCACAGGGGCCTCAGGAAATTATTTTCCTCACAGCACTCCAGGAACTCCACTTCCACCAATAACAGAATCTGGAAAGTTTTCTTGAGAAAAAGCTCAGTTGGTTGGATTACCATCCTGTACACTAAAGGGTCTCAAATTCTATTCCAGTCAGGGCATACCTGGGTTATGGGTGCAATCCCCGGTTAGGGTGCTTATGGGAGACAAATGATCAACATTTTTTTTTCATTTTTATGTTTTCTCTCCCTATCCTTTCCTCTCTAAAACTAATTTTAAACAAAAGAAAATATCAATTTGTGATATGGTTAAAGTACTTCAGAATCACAAAATAGATAAAATTCAGAGAACTACCTTTTTTTCCCCTCCTGCCCCTGTTCACATATGCAAATATTTAAAAGGTAATGTCTGTCCTAGTGAGAGCAATTCAACAAGAAAAAGAAATAAAAGGCATCCAAATTGGAAAGGAAGAAGTACAACTGTCACTTTTTATGGATGGCATGGTTTTATCTATAGAAAACCCTAAGACTACACACACACACACACACACACACACACACAAATACTGTTAGAACTAATAAACAAATTCAGAATAGTTGCAAGATACAAAATCAATATACAAAAATTTGTTGCATTTTTTAAAAATATATTATTATTGATAGTATTACAGATATCTCCCATTATTACATTTTTATACACTAACAACAAACTATTAGAAAGAGAAATTTAGAAAACAATCCCACTTATAATTGCATCAAAAAATTAGATACCCAGAAATAAATTTAAGAAAAGACCTGTAAACTGAAAACTATAAGACACTGATGAAAGAAAATGAAGACAACACAAATAAATATAAGATATTCTATGCTTGTGGATTAAAAGAATTAATGTTAAAATGTCCATATTACCCAAAGTAATCTGCAGATTCAATGCAATTCCTATCAAAACTCCAATGGCATTTTTCACGAATAGAAGAAATAACACTAAAATTTGTACAGAACCACAAAAGATCCTGAATAGCCAAAGTAATCTTGAAGAGAAAAGCTGGAGGCATCATGCTCCCTGATTTCAAACCAAATTACAAATCTATAGTAATCAAAATTATATGGTTTTGGAATAAAGACAGACACAGGGATCAATGGAACAGAATAGAGAGCCTAGAAATAAACCTGTGCATATATGGTCAATTAACTTATGACAAATGAGGCAAAAATATACCATTGTAAAAATGACAATCTCTTCAGTAAATGGTGTTGGGAAAACTGGACAAACAAATGCAAAATAATAAAACTGGACCAATATCTTATACCATACACAAAAAATAACTCACACTGGATTAAAAACTTGAATGTAAGACCTGAAACCATTAAACTATAGAAGAAAACATAGATTGACATCATTTTTGAACCTGACACCAAGGGCAAGGTTAACCAATGCAAAAATAAACAAATGGAACTACATCAAATGAAAAAAACTTCTGCAAAGCAAAGGAAATCATCAACAAACTGAAAACAAAACCTACTGTATGAGGGAAGATTTGTAAATCATAAATCTGATAAGGGGTTAATATCCAAAATATATAAAGAACTCATATAATACAATTAACAAAACAAAACAAGACTACAAAACAAAACAAAATTTTTTTTAAAATGAACTGAAGATCTGAACAGGTAGTTTTCCAAAAAAACATACAGATGGCCAACAGACACATGAAAAGATTCTCAACATCGCTAATCATCAGTTAAATGCAAATCAAAACCACAATGAGATACCACCTCACAACAGTCAGAATGGCTATCATCAAAATGTCTATAAATAACAAGAGTTGGCAAGGATATGGAGAAACCTTCATGCTTGGTTGGTGAGAATGCAAATTAGTGCAGCCACTATGAAAAATAGTATGGAAGTTCCTCAAATAATTCAAAATATGATCCAGCAATTCCACTTCTGAGTATTTATCTGAAGAAAATGAAAACACAAATTCAAAAATACATGTGCACTTTTATGTTCATTGCAGCATCACTTATGATATTCAAGATATGGAAGCAATCTAAGTGTCCACTGATAGACGATTGGATAAAAAAGATGTGGTACATATACACAATGCAAATATTACTCAGCCACAAAAAAACAGAATGAAATCTTGCCATTTGCAACAACATGGATGGACACAACATGATTTCACTTTTATGTAGAATCTAAAACACAAAATAAAACCAATCTTACAGATACAAAGAATAGATTGGTGGCCAGAAGAGAGAGGGCTGGAGTAGGTGAAATGGGTACAATCTTGCAAAATAAATTAGCCATGGGGATGTAAAGCATGGAGAATGTAGTCAATAATATTGTAACAAACTTGAAAGTTGCTAAGAAAGTAAGTCTTAAATGTTCTCATCATAAGAGACAGAGGATAGGGATAGTGGATAAATACTTATCGTGGTGAGCATTTCACAATATATACAAATGTCAAATCATTATGTTGTACACCTGACACTAATATAATATTATGTAATTATAATATTCAATAAAACAATGTGGCTCAATGCATATTGGTGGTCTATGACTATCACTGGATCATGCGAATGCTAACATTCTTGTCTTTCCACATCTTTATGTATTTCCATTCTTTTTTTCTTTTAAAAAATATGTTTTTATTGATTTTAGAGAGAGAGGGCGAGGGGGATAGAGGTAGAAACATGGATGAGGGAGAATCATTGATCAGATGCCTCCTGCACAGCCTCTACTAAGGAACGAGTCTGCAACCCTGGGCATGTGTCCTGACCAGGAATTGAACCGTGATCTCTTGGTTCACAGGTGAATGCTCAACCACTAAGCCACACCAACCAGGCTGTATTTCCATTCTTATATATGACTAGAGGCCCAGTGCACAAATTTGTGCACCAATGGGGTCCAGCCGGCCCAGCCCCAATGGGGTGGATAGGGCCTGGCCTTTCGGGAGGAGGAGACGGCGGGAGGTTGGCCGGCCGGACCACCCCAATTGGGGCCTCATCAGGGCCAGGCTGGCTGGGGGAGAGGCCATAGGCGATTGACCAGCGGGCCCTGCCCCCAATTGGGGTGGAGGGCTGATTGGGGGCGGGGCCGGCCATCGGGAGGGACTGTGGGTGGTGGGCTGGCCCTGCCCCTGAATAGGGTAGGGGGGCTGATTGGGGGTCAGCAGCCCGGGGAGGGGCAGTGGGAGGTTGGCTTGCAGCCCCACTCCCTATTGGTGTGGGGGAGCGATCAGGGGTGGAGCTGGCTGGGAAAAGGGGCCGCAAGCAGATCGAGGTGTTGGGGGCTGATCAGGGGTGGGGACGGCTGTGGGGAGGGGCTGTGGGCCCCACCCCAGATTGGCCTCCGCACCCTGATCGGGGGTGTGGCCGGCCAGCTGACTGCCCACAGCCCCTCCTCCTGGCTGGCCCTGCCCCCGATTGGTCCCCACTACCCCAATAGGCCCACAGCCCCTCCCACCAGCCAGCTACATCCCTGATTGACACCCCACTCCAATCAGGGGCAGAGGCAACCAGCCAAAAGCCCAAGGGGATGGGCGGGGGGAGAAGCTGCAGGAGGTTGGCCAGCTGATCCAGCCCCCTAATGGGGTAGGGGGGGCAATCAGGGGCAGGGATGGCTGCGGGAGGGGCTTTGGGCCGATCAGAGTGGTGGGGGTCCCTCTGGGGCAGGGCCAGCAGGGGGGAGGGGCTTCAGGAGGTTGGCCACCAGGCCCCACCTCTTATTGGGGGGGGCTATCAGGGGCAGGGCTGGCCAGGGGGAGGGGCTGCAGGCCAATCAGGGGTGAGGCTGCCACTGCTGGCAGTAAAAGCCTCAGGCAGCCCTGGTTATCTGAGCCTCAGGTGGCCCTGGGCAGCTGGGCAGTCACCATCCAAGGCTTGCCTGCGCCTCCGGCCAGCCCTAGGCAGCTGGGCAGCCGACATCTGAGGCTTGCCTGTGCTGCAGGCTGGCCCTGGGCGGCTGGGGGGCTGAGGGGACTGGGGGACTCTGGAAGCAGGTGCAAGGCAAGGCCAGACCTGCCTAGGGGTGGGCCCACCCTTGCCACGCCTGCCATCCCGGCGGGGGTTAGGGGACTGGGTGCTGCCATATTTGAGGGTATGGCAGTCAATTAGCATATTCCCTCCTTACTGGCTGTGGGCATCACTATCTTTGTGACAGCATGAGGGTCAATTAGCATATTCTCTCTTTATTAGATAGGATATTTCCCTAGGTCTTCTATTGGTACCATCTTTCTTCTGATACTTCTAAAATCTCATGCTCACAGTTTCTATTATTCAAATTCTCTCTTTAGAAATTTTTCTTCTAAAATAAAAATCCATAGCTAACACCGGATCATCATATTTCCTTTTGCAGTGACAAACTCATAACTTATGGTATTCCTACCAGAGTGTGGCTCAATTTCCAAAGTGGCATGGCATACCTGTCCCAGACTGTAATGCTAGACTTCCTCTCCTTAAGTATATTTTACATCCTATATAATAAAAGCCTAATATGCTAAGTGCCCAGACATCTGTTTGTCCGTTCAACCAAGCAAAGTGTAATATGTTAATGATATGCTAAGGCCGCTCAACCACTAGCTATAACATGCACTGACCACCAGGGAGCGGACAGTCAACCGGTCGACCAGTCGCTATGACATGGACTGATCACCAGGGGGAAGATACTCCAAATGGTAGGTTAGTTTGCTGCTGGGGTCCAGCCAATCAGGACTGAGCGAGACAGGCCAGACACCCCCTGGAGCCCTCCGACAGTCCCTCGCTGGCTGGCCAACCTCCCCTGTCCCTCCCTGGCCCCGATCATGCACTGGTGGGGTCCCTCGGCCTGGCCTGTGCCTTCTCACAATCTGGGACCCCTTGGGGGATGTCAGAGAGCTGGTTTCAGCCTGATCCCGCAGGCAAGGCTAAGGGACCCCACTGGTGCATGAATTCGTGATAGGGCTTCTAGATACAAAATAAAAGTATAAGTATTTAAAACTGTGTGATGATTTAACAGCCCTTTTCTTATTTTTTTATTTATTTTTATTTTTTTAAATATATTTTATTGATGTTTACAGAGAGGAAGGGAGAGGGATAGAGAGTTAGAAACATCGATGAGAGAGAAGCATCGATCAGCTGCCTCCTGCACACCCCCTACTGGGGATGTGCCCGCAACCAAGGTACATGCCCTTGATCGGAATAGAACCTGGGATCCTTCAGTCCGCAGGCTGACGCTCTAGCCACTGAGCCAAACTGTTAGGGTTAACAGCCCCTTTTTTAAAAAAATAAAATGACAACTATGAAAATTTTATGCTAGAATGAAATCATATTTTGTCTTGCCCCATTTCTAAATCACATATCAACAGCTTCAACTGCAGGCAAAAGAATGTTATATTCAAGCACATTTTGATTCATCCTAAAACAAATCTTTTCAAACAAATTCCTTTTTCTCTATCAAGATTTATGTATGAAAGCTGAGGTTCTATCCACCCTCCTCCAGTAGAGACACCTACAATCCAGTTAAGCAGTTTGTTCCAGCTGTTTGAATTACAACCCCATGATCCTGCCTCTTGAAGGCATTTTAAGCTGTTGGTCCTTGAAAACTAATAGAATGGGTCAAAGAACACCCTGAGGTCTGCATGTGATAAAAGCTGGGTATAGGGGAAACTATTCACAACTGAGAATACACCAAAGGTACATAAGAAAACTAATTTTAAAAATACATTTTAAACAATTACTGAAAAACACTTGAAATAATACACGTTATCGTGCTATTTAAACACTGGCAACATCAATTTATTTGCCTCCCTGTTTTTATAAAACCAGATATCCATACTCTCCAGTATACTTCCTAACAACTTCTTGACATACACTTTAAAAGCCTGTGCTTAATCATAGCAGCACTATTTACAATAGCTAAGATCTGGAAACAGCCCAAGTGCCCATCAGTAGATGAGTGGATAAAAAAGCTGTGGTACATTCACTCAATGGAGTACTATGCAGCAGTAAAACAGAGGGATCTTTAACCCTTTGGGACATCATGGAGGGACTTAGAGAGTATTATGCTAAGTGAAATGTCAGTCAGAGAAAGATAAGTATCATATGATCTCACTCATATTGGAATCTAATGAACAAAATAAACTGACAAACAAAACAGATCCATAGACATGGAAGCATGCAACAGACTGAGGATTCTCAGAGGGAAGGGGGAGCAGGGGAGGGAAGAGGGCAACCAAAGAGTTTACATGCATAAAGGCATAACCATGGACACAGATGATAGTGGGGTGAAGCCCTGGGGAGGGGACAGAAGAGTGAAGACAGGTCAATGGGGAAAAATGGGACACCTGTAATACTTTAAACAATAAAGGTAACATTTTAAAAGAAAAAAACAAACAAAACCTATGTTTAAAAAGCAACAGTTAGTGTAACTAAGAATCATTTTACAGATTGGTTTTATTTTTTAATAGAAATAACAACCATCTCTTACTTGAGTTCCTAGCTCCCACAGACTCAATTAAGAGTCTAAATTACTGAGGAACCAAGATGGCGGCGTAAGGTACAGACCTGTGGGTGCTGCCTCCCACAACAATGTTGAAACTACCAACTATAAGACAAACAGCTATCATTCGGAACCATGGGAAAGCTGGCCCAGTGGAAGCTCTACGACTGGAAGAAAGAAAGAAGAGCATTGAGACTGAGTAGGATGTACAGAGGCGCCAAGAACAGAGGGACGGAGTTACATGCCAGGCGGGCTGCAACTGGATGTGCGGTTTTTTTCAATCGGAAGGGGTTACAAACTCTCGAATCCACTGAGCTTGTTTGGGGTGGGATTCTGAGGTCCCAGACCCCTACAAGGAGGGGTGGGACGGCCTTGCAGCGGGTCGGAGAGCAAGGGTGGCTTTCTCACGGAGCTGCTCGCCGGCACTCAGGGATGCGGAGACACGGAGTCGCGGAGAGGTGAGGAGTCTCAGAGACACCATTGCTCTTTGCTCCGCCCTGGTGATTCCCGGAGACCTTGCCCTATTCAATTTACATCCCCGCCCAAGCTGTGCCAGTGGCACAAAAGGAACCACCTGTGCTTTTGCAGCCTAACCCAACAAACTGTAGATTTCAACTCCTCGCATACATAAGGGACACACTCAAGAAGCAGAATCAGGTTCGGAGGAAGCCGGAGCCGGACCCAGCTGAGCTGGCAACATGGAACCACTGTACCAGCAAATGCACAAGCAGGTCCACCAGATCCAGTCTCACATGGGACACTAGGAGACGGCAGACAAGCAGTCTGTGCACTTAGTAGAAAACGAAATCCAAGCAAGCATTCCAGATATTCAGCCACCAAGAACACCTGGAGATTTTGTAGAGCAAGAGCCGCCCAACAAAAGACAGAATGCCAAACTTTGTGTTGACCAGTTAAACTATGATGTCCAGCACCTGCAGACTGCTCTCAGAAACTTTCAGCATCGGCGATATGCAAGGGAGCAGCAGGAGAGACAGCGAGAAGAGCTTCTGACTTGCACCTTCACTCCCAACGTGGGATGCGGCACCCCCTGCGAGGCTGTGACGGCCCCTGTGAGGCTGAGACAGCCCCTGGGAGGTTGAGATGGTCCCTGGGAGGTTGAAACGGCCCCTGTGAGGCTGAGACGGCCCCTGAGTGGTTGAAACAGCCCCTATGAGGTTGAAACGGCCCCTGAGAGGCTGCGACAGCCCCTGTGAGGTTGTGATAGCCCCTGTGGGGCTGAGACGGCCCCTATGAGACTGAGACGGCCCCTGTGAGGCTGAGATGGACCCTGTGAGGCTACGCCAGCCCCTGGGAAGCTGAGAAAAACACCATATGGTCTCACTCATTTATGGATAATAAAGATCATTATAAACTGATGAACAAAATTAGATACAGAGGCAGAGCAGCATTGAACAGACTGTCAAACTACAGTGGGAAGCCTGGGGACGGTTGGGGGGTGGGTAAGAGATCAACCAAAGGACTTGTATGCATGCATATAAGAATAACCAATGGACACAAGACACTCAGGGGTAGGGGAGGCGGGAGGAATGTCGGGGGTGGGGGTGGAAAAAGGAGACATATGTAATACTCTTTGTAATACTTTAAGAAATAAAACAAAATTAAATTTTAAAAAAAGACTCTAAATTTCTTTCAGTTTGAGTTAAAGGAGAGAACTGTGATTCATACTTCCAAAGGCAAGAGTGGCATCTCTGTCATTCATTTTGGTCTTTCACATGCTAAGATACTTAAATTTTTACTTTTCCTTAATAATGCCTACTTCCATTTGCTGAACCTATATAACAATCAAAGAACCAAAATTTTCACTGTTTTATTTGAAACCCCCAAACAACCTTGTCAACAGATATTATAATTTCCATTTCATGGGTAAGGAAACTGAGGTAGTATCCATGCTATAATTATACAAGCACACATGCATCCATTGTTTGGGGCATGTGTATTTAATGATTAAGAGGTGATGATGCCATTTAAAATATATTTTATCCCTCTGTCAAAATGAATTGAAACAAAACCATGCCTACCCAACTTCCACACATTCGACACAGGAATATTTCCATGGTTGCCTCAGTAAGTCATAAACTTTATCCACTATAATTCCAACACTATATCTAATACATCTCAAGAGACCAACTAAACTACCTAAAATTATTCAGAATATAACAATACTTTAGCAATTATATAACAACTAAATAAGCAAATAAGACATTCTACTTTTTACATGTCATGCTAAAAATGCCACATATCAACACTTTCACTTCTTGAGAACTGCCACAGCTTGAGGCATACAAATTTCAGCCAATTTAACAGGAAAAAAAAGTAATAATTTTCCTGTCCTTTGAAGCAATTGCAACTCAGAGGTTGCTCGCTTTCAAATATTCTACATCAATTAAAAGCATCTTATCAGAATAGACAACCATACAGACTTAGTGTAAGTAAGTACAGGTCTGGATATTGTTGAGGCATCATGAGTTCCTAGCTCCCACAGACTCTAAATTTCTTTCAATTTGAGTTAAATGAGAGAAACTCGATTCATATTTCCAGAGGCAAGAGTGGCATATTTTCCAGTAAGTTTCTTGTTCTCATTTTACTATTTTAAGAAGTCTGATCACTCCCAGTATTGCTGTGGAGCAAGATCTGAATTCTGGTGACTGATCATTTTCATGACATGATGCTTTACTAAAACTGTCTCAAAACACTGTTTTTATTCGTATTTAGCTTCAGTGTATTTATACACAAAATACCACTTCTATGGCATCACGCCAAGAAAAGAAATAGCTTGCTAGAATTTCAGTTGACTTTGTTAAAGGAAATTATTTTAAATTAATGTGGCTACTGAACTGCTGCCATCCTTAACCTCAGAAAATATATTCCTTCTAATTTTTGCTATGAACATTTATTTATTTAAGTTAAATTCCAGCTCATGAATGCTGACCATAAAGAGTCTAAACCTTCCTGCTACTATTTCATATTCGTTTTCTAAACAAGGGCAACCACATATTTGCTGCATTAGTATGCACAGCAAAATCACCACCATTAAGTGAAATCATCTATGTATTTTTGGTAGAATCTTTAACAACTTCCACACCCATCAATGAAATGAAACAAGGCTGTTT